TCTTCCTCAGTGGCAACAGTGTTTTCAGTAGGGTCGGAGCTGTCGTCAACGTTCATAGTACTGGAGGAAGCAACGTTATCAGTAGAAGGAACTTCCTTTTGTTTGCCTTTATTGTTTACTGCAAGAGTTTCGACATGAGTGTTGTCGACTTCCATGTCATTTTCAGGAACAAAGTTGTTCGTCAGAACAGATAAAGAAACTGTTGGTTTAACTGTTTACATAGTATTTTGTCTTTTGCTAGGTTGCTGTACATTTTTGGGCGATGCAGAGCGATCACGGTTGTTATTTTGTTTTCTGCTATTTTTTGGCATAGTGGAGAAGCAGAAAGAGTTTTGATATTTATATTAAATATTTTTTGATATTATTTAACGAATAAATAAGAAAATTTCCTTTTTTAAATTAGGTTGGGTCAGGTCAGGTAAACCTGACCTGACAGGTCAACTAATCAAATTATATATAGCTGATATATTAAAATTTATTGTTTAAAAAATAATTTTTTTTTTAAGTGCAGTAGTTTCGCATGATTTTTATTAAATTCAAAGTACAATTAACAAGGTTAAAATATACAAATTTAAGAAAATACAAAAATCTCTATTTAATCTTAACTAAATTAAAACTGACCCTACACTTTCCTAGAATCTATTCCTAACCTAAGCTAAAAATATCATATTCCAGTAACTAACTGAATGAAAAAGGGCTTGACTACTACGGTACCAAAAATTCAACCAGTGGGATCAATATTGAACCATGTCTTTAATGAAGTTATTAATGATTGCATAGGAAGTGGAACTTGTAATATGATATCCTGTTGCAACAGTGTGATCTTTCTTTGATTTTAAGTTGATGTTGTGTGTTTTCTCAAATGTAACTTATTATGAATACTGGTCAGTTCATATTACCTGTGTTTGTACAAAAATGTAATGCATAAAGGCAGAGAGCGTTGCATGAGTAAGGTCTTTTGAACCTATAGTATTGTAAACGAATATATATAGTGTCTGAGGAATCAGTCCTTTTATAAGAGCTTGTAGGTAGGGGAAAGATTCAGTAGACATGTGCCATATGTGTAACTTAGAGATATCCATAGTTGAGCCATTGTTTTGGATTAAATTTTGTAAGACTTATTGTGAGTCTCATATGATGTTCTTCATTCAAGTCTAAGTAATTGGACATTCCCAAATATGAGAGAAGTTTTCATCTGCGCAATCACATTTGACATAAAGCTACGATTGATTAAAGATATCAGGGTGTCTTTCTTTTAAAATTTCCATAGTAGGGAGCATTTCTAGGAGTCTTTGGATTTTTTTCTTACAGACTACTGAGGCTTCGTATGAGGTATGTGCTGCTGCAATATTATTATTAATGTAGAAACTCATAGCAGTCCAGTTAATGTTCAAATGCTGATGTTTGTTTATCATATAGAGGTGTTGTATTTTATCAAACAATATAGATTGTGTAATGTTCTTCATAAAGAAACGTATGGGAATTGATATCTTCAGATTATCATATTTATAGTAGTAGTAATTGTTATAAAAGAGATCAAACCTGAGTGCTACTTTCCCGTGAGCGTTCTTTGCAAGTTGGTTAACTTTGTCATTCAAGGTGTTTCCTGAATGTGCTTTAACTTTATAGAAGCGGATGTTGAGGTAATGTGATTTGATAACTTCAAATAGACTCAGCCAAATCGAAAAATTATTAATCTTGAACAGGGGTCTTGTAGACGAAAAAAAACACAAAATTCTTCTGAAATTATGGAATTGTCTAATCACAACTTGTGAATCTGTCATGATCGTAATGTAGCAGTTTTGTGGTGTAATGAGGATAGCAGTAAATATTGCTGCCAGCTCTGCAATTGAAGACGAGGAGAATGTAGTAACCAATGCAGATGAAAAGGAGACCATAAGTGAACATGGGTTCGTTTAAAGCTAAGTTATACTCATTCTTATAGAAGGAATGCCCAAGCCCATAAGAGAACCATCTGTATAGAATTCTAAATGTGTGGCAGCAGAAAATTGTTGTGAAAGAATTAGTAGTTCTTGACTATGTGGTAACATAATAAACTTTGATATTAATGTGAAGGGTGCAGGGTGGCAAAAATCAATCAAGGGTAAATGGGAGGTATGATTATAAAAACGGTTGAAAAAATAGAATGCAATATCCTTTATAAGAATTGAAGACTAGACGCTAATATGTTGCATCCAAGTATCTTTAAGTATTATTTTTACACAGAGGCTAAGGGACGTGATCACTATGCAGTTGTATTTTTTAAGTTCAGAAGAATTACTCTTAAATAATGTGGGTCAGTTTAGTGAACATCCATCACATTGATGCAGTAGAGAGAGTATGCGCGTAATGAACGATATCAGTAAAACTGCCTGCTATCTTTAGAACACGACTTATTATCATTATATTAGTATTAGAGTTCCAATATAAAACAAATAAACAGACTGTTATTTCGTCGTGTAATGGTAGCATCTGAAATTCATGTATTGCATTCTGTTTGTATATTGTATTTGCAGGTAATGAATTAAGTACGTCAACATTAAGTGCGTCTTTAATCTTGAGAAACCATTTCAGAGACAGTTTTTTCCTGGGAATAGATGAAAATATCTCAGATCTTTGGCAGTATACAGTGACTTTTCATCTCGACTGATTAATTGTTTCACAAATATTAAGGAGTATTTGACTAAGGAAGGGGCTGATTTCCTGTAGTCTAGTGGAATAATTGATTGAATGGTGGTAGATCCACCTTGAATTCTATGCGTAAATTGCTCTAGTAAAGATAGGCTGATGTTAAAGCATTTGAGGTTACATAAAAGTGCTAGGATCCAACTGTTGAAAAACTTGGAGTTTTTATAAAGCCAATTAACTAGCGGTAAAGCTGGTAACCATTCTTTAACTTGCAGTTATAATAGCCATATGTTGGTAGAAAGACCTAGGAGACCAGTATTATTAAGAGACGTTAGTAAGACATCACTGAGAGCTTGCATGTGCCTGTGGTAAAAATTTGTTACTCTGTAAAGAGATTTTGAATAGAGAAGACAAGAGGGCGTGTTTCGTAATAAATGAAGTTTTTTCTTAAGCAAAGCTCTGAATGAACATATAATACGATCAGTAAGGGTTTTAAATAAATGAGTTAGTTGGGTGTGATACTTAATACAAGGTATAACAATAATGTTGAATGTGTATATGAGTTGTTTGTCTGTCAGTCATTTGTTAAACAGAGTAGTCACAGTTGATTTAACATCCTGAATAGCTTATTTGATGATAAACGTCTTATTACATTTAAGCGAGATCTAAACCCTAAATATCAAATAGAGTCTTTAGGACCGGTGGCAGTAATTGTTTGTGTGAAGCCATTGACATATGATTCAATGGTTTGGATATTGTTTGTATTAGTCAACAGGTCTGATTTCGACCAGTTCACTTTAATACTGTTTAAATCATAAAAACTGTTAGCAATATCTATGATTCTGTTAAGTTGTTGTTTAGAATCAGTGATCCACAATGTGTCATCCATATATACTAATACTGAAGTTTTACATGAGCATTTTTCGAATGAGTTGAGGTGAACATTAGGCTTCCATTTGGCCGATATAGTATAACTAAGGTCAGAGTTTTGCACCTTACACAAGAGAGGATCATAATAGATATACCACAAAAGTGGTGAGATAATTTCTCCTTGATCAATACCTGAGAAAACCTTGTAAGTATCTGTAAGCCCAAACGAGGTAAAAACCTGGTTTTTCCTATATACAAATATATTCAGAATAAAAAAAATGAATTCTTTAAGAAGTTTTAAACATTCAAGTGCTCTAACCATCATAAAAATATTTACATGATCGTAAGCTTTTGACATATCTTGTAGGAGGACCCACAATTCTTTTTTGTTTGAGAGGACGTCATTTTTTATATTGTCTAGAATATGCAAGAGTTTAAAGGTGAAGCAAAAGGGAAGTCCTGCGAAATTATATCCTCTAAGAACGTTATGTTGGATGAATACAGTTGAGAGCTGCGTATTGATAAGGTTTATAAAGGCTTTTCTAGGCATTCTAACAACGTAATTAGTCTCATGTTATTTAAATCAAATTCTCAGGGTTTGGGTTTCGAAATCAGATAAATAAATGCTAAATTCCATCGATATGGAAGTATTGAGATTGATAAACAGCCACATATTAAATACCAAAAAATTTTTTTAGCTATAGGGCCAAGGTGTTTAAGCATTTTATTCGAGATCTTGGAAGGGCCAGGTGCTTTACCATCTGTGAGAGAATTAACGATAGAATACTATTCTTCTGCTGAGAGTGATGCCATAAGATCCTTATATATGCTAACATTCACATTTACTAAAGGGCTGTATAAGGAAAACTATTCATCAGAGATGTTTTTCAGTTCATGTGTAGTACCTGCTGCTTTTTGAAAATGGTCGTTAACTATTTGTTTTACTGATTGTTCATCTGTGAGAAGTCCTTGAGCATTTCGTAACAAACATCTGTCTAGTATGATTATCTTCCTTATACGGTTTAATGCTGAATCAAGCAATTTTTTGGGATTGTTAGCATAAGCATATAATCACTGATCTAAATATTTCTATATAGAAGTAAGCTTGTGATCATTCTTATGAATTTTAGCTTTACATAAGATTACTTTGAGTAGAAGAACCGTATCAGAGAGAAGGAGGTCGACAAAATTAAATGGATAGTCTGAGCTAGGATGCGCAGTAACAAATACAAGTGAGTTAGCAATATTACGAAAATTATTATATAAGGGGATCCAATTAGTAGGAAATGAAGCACCCTATTTGACTTTAAGAAGTAACTTTTTGAACTTGTGTAAGGTCTTTTGATGTGAATATAATTTCATGAGGTTAAAAGGTCTTGGATATTTAAATTGTCCTGACGATTTCCAAAGAGGTATGCACTTTTTGGCTACTTTGATCAAAAGGTCCTGAAAGGTATCCTAGTATTTGTTAAGCAAAGAATGCGTCCAGTATGTTTGCTGATTGATTATTTTAATTTGACTGCCATTTAATAATGCGTCAAGTTTGATATTGAATTTACTCTATAGATTTTTGATTATTTTGTCAAAAGTGAAACTAATTTTTCTGAGTATTTTTCGTTTGTTGAATTTGATGTCTAAAAAATTTATAATCGTAGTGATGGCTACATAGTGGTCAGATATATTCGTTTCAGAAGCAACCATATAACAATCTAAAATATTTAGGGAAATTTCAGCTGAGGTCCAAATATAATCAATCCTTGAGGATACTTGGCTTGAAAAATAAGTAGGAAAGTTAATTCTGTTTCGATCGTGTTTGATTGAGAAGGTGTCAAAAAGTGACAGTCTATGAAAATTTTCAAAGAGTTTTAAGCTGTTTGTGGAATTGTGTAAACGGTTTATATCTGCATTAAAATCTCCCAAAACAATCAAATGGAAATCGTTGGTAGTAGCTTTTTGAATCTATTTGCGAAGAACCAGTCAGTTTTCTTTCTCATTTTGAGGTCAGCTGGCAGAAGATAGCAATTAATGATACGAAGTTTTTGTTTGTTTACAAATTGTAAATCAACATGTATGATTCGATTGAGTTTAGTGTTATGATTGTAAACGTGATGAGCAATCTTTTTGTTGAGTATTAGTCCTACACTAAATGCGATACGTTGTTTTGGGTTTGAGCTAAAAAATGATATGAATGAGAGATGTGAAGGGTTAAAAATTTTTTCGTGTTGGGGTTTGAAGTTAGTTTCTTAAAGGCCAATGATGTCTATGTTGTATGAAGAATATAATGATAAAAGGTGGTATTGTTTGGCGATGTTAGTAAAGAAACGGACGTTGTGGATTGCAAATGAAAGTTTGGATATATTAAGGAAGGTTGTATTAGAATTATTATTAGGTGAAGGAAATATGTTGTTATTATCTGTAGGGACAGTAATCATAATAATATAATTTAAAATTGGGGAAGGCCTTTCATAATCTTTTCTGCGTCCATATCATAACTGGTGCTAAGGGTATACGATGTTGACAGTATCAGTGAAGTTCTTAAGGCGTAGGTTTTGTGCATTAGTAATCTCTGTGAGAGTTGCGATGGTTTGACGTTATTTACTAATGATCGATTTAGACGTGTCTACCACAGGGTCAGTTCCATATTGTTCTAAGTCATAATCTGTCATTGTTTCTTCATCAGAAAAGCTGACCTTAATGTTGAGTGTTTGTTCAATTATCTCCATTCGTTTTATAGTGAAACCTAAGGTAACTGTGAGATCATCAAGTTTTTGGGTAAGTTGTAAGAAGCTTGTTTTGATAAAGTCTCTAAAGTCATTATCATTGTCTTTTTCATGCATAGATCCTCCTGCTTTCATTCCTGCAGAGATGTTACGTAATTTTTATTGTTGTTGAAGAGGTTGATTGCTCCGTTGTTCCATCTTCAGAGGGATATCGTCACTTCAGTCTGATGATAAAGTAGAGGGTTGTAATGGGAACTATTATTTGTATTCTTAATTAAGGAACACAGGTTCGTAGGTATGCGAGTCTGTTTAGGTAGTTTCTGTGTATCATCTGTGACGATGTTAACAAAAGTGATGTTTGGACTGATAGCACCTTTACGAGAATGAGTTAGGGCTTTATAATTGTTGTATTGTGCTGGTTGGAACTGTTGATAAAGATGTTGGGTGCTTTTATCTTGTGAAGCGCAATGTTTTTTAGGACAATCTTTGATTTTGTGATGTGAAGAGGAACAAATAGCATATAATTTGACCTGGGTCTCAGTCCATTCAACATGTTTACCATTAATGGTGAGGTTGTCATTACTGATCGCTGCTTCGTAATCATCAGCTGAAAGAAAATAGAAGAACACATGTTGTAAATTGTGATAATTGGATCTGGCTTTAGGGATAATCCAGGCTATTGCATTCACCATCAGACCCAAA